AGTTTAAAGTCAATGAAATCTGGCAATGGGCTCATTCTCGTGGAATTCATTAATCTTATCATATTGCCCATTACCCTGAAGCAGTTGGCCTGACTGAACAATGGGACGTTCTTTGGAATGTTTTCCAAAATGTGGCATATGCTTTGAATTAGCAACCGCTGCTGTTTTTCCCAGTTCCAAGAATTAAAAGGCAGAAAAGGGAATGATTATCAAAATTATCCTTAGTGGTAGACTGGTAACTTTGTTGTTGTTTTGGTTTTGGGGTCTCACTCTGTCACCAGGCTGCAGTGGCATGATCACAGCTCAGTGAAACCTCGAACTCAAGCAATTTTCTGGCCTCAGCCTCCAGAGTAGCTAGGACTAAAGATGCACACAACTACACCTGGATAATGTATTTGTTTAGTAGAGACAGGGGTCACGCAAGGGTTGCCCAGGCTTTCTTGAACTCCTGGTCTCAAGTGATCCTCCCGTCTTGACCTTCCAAAACATTGAGATTACAGTTGTAAGCCACAACACCTGGACTTTTTTTTCTATACCTACAACTTTGGACTTTGCTGATTTAGAGATCTTGGTTCCCAAGGAAGGGTCATTTCCATCAGGAAAGAAAATCATGGTTCCTTTAAACTGAAAGTTGAACCTACTACCTAGGTTTTTCATACCATTAAACCAACAGATTATGGGGGGGCTTACCGTTCTCGCTTAGCAAGAGTATGGAAATTTTGAGAGGGAAGTTTTTTGTTGGGACAATCAGGCACATTTAGATCCTTGGTCCCTAGGCAACAGAGAATCAGTAGCAACTTCGAGTGATTGGTCCAGTCCCAAAACACATTCCTTCCCCTTCCAAAATGCCACTTATTTGTAGGGAACTGCCCCTAGCTGAGAATATTTTTCATTAGTGCATCATTTCAAGAGTGACAATGTTTATTTTAATACAATTTAGATAGTAGTAGAAAAATAAGCTTTATAAAATATTTTCTATGACACCAAATAACAAATTAGAGGCATAGTTTTCTTTCTTTTCTTTTCATTACTCGTTTTTTCTGGTTGGAAAACTAGTTTTAAATCATTTTATGCACTTAAACTATGATCACAAACTTTAAGACATGGACCAAAAGTGAGCCCAACAAGGTAACATCTACATTGGCAATCTCTATACTGTGGATACCATGGCATCAGAGGTCATTTGATAGAAAGTGGCAATATCACAGTGTTGTTTCTTTTTTGGCTTGATAGAAATACTTTATTAGAGAAAACACTCTGCCACACAGAAGGATGCATTACATTGGCTATGCATAGCAAGCTCAGGTTCTAAACTAAACTTAATTTGTGCCAATGGGGATTGCATCAGCTGGTTACACACACACACACACACACACACACACACACCCCTCTAGTGATTCTTACTTTCTGTCTTCTTGTTTTCATCATATTGTTTATTGTAGCAACAACTGAAAAGTACTCGTAGAGGCCTTGTTCCGGGTGTTGGGTAACACTCTATTATAAGCTCCTCTCAACTTCACATATTGGCTGGGAAGGTCGCCAGCCTCTGTTCTTACCTTGGCCAGTGGGTCCCACCTGAGGCAACTCCCATGATACCTCTGAGGTTGGATAAGTTAGTTTACTTATTTGGGTGTCAACTGTCTTAATTCAGAAGCAAGAATGTTGACTTCCTTCTTTCATCCAGTGGCCTCCATCCTATCTCTTGCACTTCCAGGATTCAGGTTTCTAAGTATAAAGCTATAGTCAGAGGAGAACTTACAGTTGTCATCTGCTCTAATTCTTCATTGAACACATGGAGAAACTGAGGCCAAGAGAAGGGAATGACTTTCCCAAGGTCACAAAGCCACCCAGTAGCAGAGCTGGGGTAGTATTTGTGTCTCAACTCCCAGTTCAGTGCTCATTCCATTGAGCCAGGTGACCGGCATCAAATGATTGTGGCTTTACAGGATTGGTGTGCCCAGAGATGACTTTCCATACTATATTTTCTTTGGTAAGAGTTCAGGTTGAATGTTTCTTTCAGCTCTAAAACATTTACATTGAGCATCAGGGGTCTGTTGACACTATTGTTTTATTAAATTCCGCAGCAGCGGCAGCATCCCCAGCAGTAACAGAGAGCCTGGTAGGTCAAGTGCGACTCATTCCTTCCCGGGGTAGAGAATGAGGGAATGGGGGATGTGGCCTCAGTGTGGCCTAGTGAACCATTTGTAACTACTGGAGTCTGGAATGGCCACATTTAGTGATGAGAAGAAACACACATTTATTTTTTATTTTCATTTTTTGAAGACATGCACACAAATATTTATAGAAGTATTTAGCACAATAACTAAAAGCTAGAAACAATCATAGCAGCTTTATGCACAATGAGCAAAACTTGGAAACAATTCAGATGTTCACTAACAGGTGATGAATTTTTTAAAAGTGGTACATTCATACAATGGAGTATTATTCAATAAAAATTACTCATATACACAACACAAATGAATGAATGACAAAATTATTGTGTTGAGTGTTTGAAACCAGCAATAAGAATATGATCACATGGCTGTGCGTGTTGGCTCACATCTATAATCCCAGTACTTTGGAAGGCCGAGGTGAGAGGACTGCCTGAGCCCACAGATTCGAGACCAGCCTGGGCAACTTGGCAAGGCCTCATCTTTACAATAAATCAAAAAATTAGCTGGATGTGGTGGCATGTACCTGTATTTCCAGCTACTTGGAAGGCTGAGGCAGAAGGATCACCTGAGCTCAGCAAGTTGAGGCTATGGTGGCCATGAGGGCAGAGTGAAACTCCAACTCAAAAAAAAAAAAAAAAATGATTGCATTTATAGAAAATTCTAGACAATGAAAAAAGTTGTGACAAAAAAGCAAATAAGAATTGACTGGAGCCAAGGGTAGAAAGAGGGTTGGACAGAAAAGGAACAAGAAGAAACTTTGGAGGGTGATAGAAATATCCTCTATCTTGATTGTAGCAGTTGTTTCATAGTTCTATACACTGAATTGGAAACACATTTAAACAGAAGATGTTATGTTTTATATTCCATGCTAGGCATCAAAACAGCTAAAGCTGGGGTTATGTAGACAATCGTGTAGGTTTAAATCCCAGTTCAACTAATGATTAGCTGTTGAATCTTGGGCAAGTCATCTAACCTCTTTGCTTTAGATTTCATAGCTGTAAAATGGAACTGTTGGTGATATTATCTACCTATAAAGGTTTCTATTAGAATGAAATAATATTTACAAAGCTCTTAGAACAATGCCTAGCACCTAGTAAGTACTTATAGTAATTGCTGTCACTATACAAATTAAAAATAGATTCACATAAACATAAATGCATGTTTTTACCAAAATGATAAGATGTACATTAAATGTAGCAGAACGGCTATCTATGAAATTTAAAAAAACCCCAAAACCAAAAACTAAGCAAGCCATTCCAGATCCCTGCTTTTAATCCCTATAGATACTGCTTTGTTGTTATCCCACTGCCAAGATGAATAAACTGAGGTTAAAATAAAGTAAATCAAGGCATCAAGCTTTTATGAAGAGGCAAAAGGAGCATTGAAAAGATGACCTCTGGCATCTTACGGGAGATTTGATTTTCAGGTCCTTCTTTTTAATCCCTGAACTTCAGGATCTGCAGGCTATTCAAATTCATAGTGTTGTGAAGAGCCTCCTCAGATTCTGCCGGCCACACAAAGCTTTTTCAGAGTGTGGAGTCAAGAGATGTGTTTTCCAGCTGCAGAAAATATCATCTACCGCTGCCTGGAATGCAGGCCTGTGAGTTTCACCAAATTTTATACAAATAGGTGGCAAGAGTGTAATGTGACAAAATGAAATAAAACCATAATACCCCCAAATACAGGATTGGCTAAACAAATTATGTCCTTTCATATAACAGAATATAGGTAGCCGACAAGGTGACACTATGAAATAATATCAATAACCTAAAAAAATTCATGATATTTGCTATTAAAAATATGTCATAATGTGGTATGTACAATACGTGTGTATATACCCACATACATGCACAGAATATGTATATCATACTATTAACAGAAGTCATCTTGGGTAAGGTATTATTCAAGAGTCATAGTTTTGTTTTATTTAACCTATATTTTAAAATTTTTCTATAATAAATCCATATGACTGTTTAAAAGAAAAAGTAGTTTATTAAAAAAAAATAGGATAGGGACCTTCAGCTGTTTTACCTGAGGCTAGTGCTCCTCTTCTGCTTTTCTATAATCAGCTTGGAAATCATCTTGTCTACTCCTGGCTGGCTGATGCAATGACTCTTACCTTTGTGCATAGCTGTCTGCTTTCTTGTATATGACCATTACATCATGGATCCCACTGCATTATGGTTATTGGGACACATTCAATTACCTGCACTGGCATAGAACCTGGCACATTCCTGCAAAGCCTACCTACATGGCTGGGTATGTTTGCAATGAGAGAATTAATGTACTGGTCTGGGGTCAACAGCCTGGATTTGGATACAGGCTCTGCCATGCATAGATTAGGTGAGTCCCAGGCTCTATACTGTGGCAATAGTAATCATAGTTTAAGGGACCTCCAATTGCGTTTTAAAAATGGCAAAAGTGCTGGTCACAAGATGGGTAGGGATGCCTAGGGAGAGCTGATTATTTACTATTTATGTAGTCCGTCTACTACATCCCCATCTCCCCATCCCTTTTTTCTCCTTGGCTCCATAGAGCATCATGGTTACCATAGCAGCCAGATGCTGATGATGCCTCAAGGGGGCAGCTAGGTGAAACTGAGCCAGCTTCCAAGTCCTTGCTTCCCCATACCCTTTGCGGGCCAGGGTGAGATGGTCTGAAGTTCAGCCTCCACTCAGGTTCCCCAACCCTATCTCGAATCATTTAGACCCACAAACCCTGCCTCCGCAGTCTCAGTTCAAGGCCCTGAAACCCCCTTCAGAGACTCCCTCCTCCCCAGGCTCTGTCTTCTGGCACCCTGCCGGGTTGCCGTGGAAACAGGTTCCACTGCGGACAAAGGAGGGAGCTGGGTCCTGCTTCCTCCTGGTCCTGTCGATGAGGATTTTTAGACCGTGGAGACTGCGCTGCCCTGCCCTGCATCTGCCCTCGCTCTCCGTGTTCTCACTAAGGTGGAGCTTGCCTTCTCTCACCACTGAGGCGACCATGTGTAAAAGCGTGACCACTGATGAGTGGAAGAAAATCTTCTATGAGAAGATGGAGGAGGCAAAGCCGGCTGACAGCTGGGACCTCATCATGGACCCCAACCTCAAGCACAATGTACTGGCCCCTGGCTGGAAGCAGTATCTGGAGTTGCATGCTTCAGGCAGGTGAGTAGTCCAGGAAGCAGGGGCCCTGTATCCAGCCCCTGAGTCCCTAGCCCTGAGATACCTTCCAAGGAGAGGTGGGACACACAGAACCCAGGTGTTCACTTCAGACTCAATGCTAGGCTAGTGTAGAGTTGGAGACAGAGAAAGAATTCCAATCTGGAAGTTGGGACACTTGATTCCAGCTCTTCCACTGATCACCTGTGTAACTCTTCTGAGTCACAGTTTCCCCATCTGGAAAATAAAGAGGAAGAATAATAATTATGAGTTCTAAACTCTGACATTTTACATATTTTCAGATTTTAATAATCTCTTAAAAAGTAGTGGAAAAACAAGGCCAGGAGAGGTGGCTCATTGCCTGTAATCTCAGCACTTTGGGAGGCTGAGGCAAGAAGACTGCTTTGGCCCAGGAGTTTGAGACCAGCCTAGGAAACATAACAAAACCTCATTTTTACGAAAAATTTAAAAAATTAGCCAGGCGTGGTGGTATGCACTTATAGTTCCAGCTACTTAGGAGGGTGAGGTGAAAGGCTTGCTTGAGCCTAGGAGGCTGAGACTGCGGTGTGCCATCAACTTGCTGCTGCATTCCAGCCTGGGTGACAGAGTGAGATCTTGACTCAAAAACAAAAAAAAGAAAAGAAAGAAAAGGTAGTTGAAAACCAGAGAAGGAGAGTTTGAAGTCTATTGGAGGTCAAGAGGTTTGTGCTCTGGTCGTGGGATAGCTCAGTTTAAATCTATTTAATTTAAAATATTGAACACATGCCATGTGCTAGAAACTGCCTCTATTATTAGCTCCATGGCCCTTGAACAATTCAGTTTTCTTCTTGGACCCCACTTTTTCCATTTATAAAATCAGAGATTAGCCTGTGGTTCACAGAACAGCATCAGCATCACCTGGAACTTGTTAGAAAGGCAGACTCTTGGGCCCCATTTTGGACTTGAATCAGAATTTGATTTTAAGAAGATCCCTAGGTGATCTGTATGTACAATAATATTTGAGATGATTTCGTAGCGCGATTGTCCATTGGTCTATAGTATAAAGACTAATCTTTGGGATACAAAATGGGGAGACTGAGTGGTGCAGTTTGGGGATTAGAAGCAAGGCCTTCCTGCCTGCCCTGGTACAGTCCATTCAATTTGATTCAATTCAAGAAACATTACTGGGCAACCGCTTTGTGTTGGGCCCTGGTTCTGCCTCCAACTAACTGTATGTACATGGATGCCTCTCTCACTCTCTGTCTCAGAGTAAAGCAGAGGATTAATTAGGTGATTTCTAGGTCCCTCTAATTCTGACATTTTTTAATCCAAGTTTTGTAGTCTGGTCTGAGAGGAAGAACAAGTCCCCAAAAGATGTGAATAAACAAGGAGAGAATGAAAATGTGAAGTTCCTTAATCAGCTAACAGGCAAGGTGCCATGGGCTGGACACTTGCTGGAGAGACTCAGGGACTTCTCAAAGACCTAGAAGGCTTGTGGGACTGTGTGGTTAGGGCTTGCTGCTCCCCCATACTCAGTGGCTGTGATTCTCAGCTGGTCCCAGTCAGGCCTGGGAGACTATGGACCTTGGAGACATTTTAGGCATAGACGATCTCCTCTTCCAGGCCTTGGGATGCATTAACTCTGGAACTAGCCTAGAGGCTGATAGGTGGTAATGGTGTCATTTTCTCCCAGTTGGGCTGGAGTCTGTTCACAGTCGGGGATGACAGATAAGAATGTGCAATGGGTTATGTATTTCTTGTCTGGTGTGGGCCATCCCCGCTGTCAACTCACAGGAGGACTGAGCCAAGGAATAACTCATTTAGTGCACCATGTGCATTTTACAGATGAGGAATAGGAATGGCGCTCAGTGAGAAATGGCCAGGGGGGAGGCCTGAAGGCACTAGGCTGGAGGGAACTGAGGCCTTGGAAAGCACTGAGGAGGCGGAGTACTGCTGGATGCCAGGTGGGGCCCGGGAGCCCTCTCTAGTCCCAGGGGCACTCACTAGGGGACAGCCTGGGCAGCCTCCTGGGGAAAGCTAATGAACCGAGGGAGCCAGCAACACACCGCCTCCACCTCCAGGCTCTGCCCAAGCCTTAAATCCCCTCACCTTCTTCCTGGGGTAGTTTCCACCACCTCCACACCGTCCTCTCCTCCTTCCTCTTCCCATCCCCACAGGTTCCACTGCTCCTGGTGCTGGCACACCTGGCAGTCGCCCCACGTGGTCATCCTCTTCCACATGTACCTGGACCGCGCCCAGCGGGCGGGATCGGTGCGCATGCGCGTCTTCAAGCAGCTGTGCTACGAGTGCGGCACGGCGCGGCTGGACGAGTCGAGCATGCTGGAGGAGAACATCGAGAGCCTGGTGGACAACCTCATCACCAGCTTGCGCGAGCAGTGCTACGGCGAGCGCGGAGGCCAGTACCGCATCCACGTGGCCAGCCGCCAGGACACTCGGCGGCACCGCGGTGAGTTCTGCGAGGCCTGCCAGGAGGGCATCGTGCACTGGAAGCCCAGCGAGAAGCTGCTGGAGGAGGAGGCGACCACTTACACCTTCACCCGGGCGCCCAGCCCCACCAAGCCGCAGGCCGAGACCGGCTCAGGCTGCAACTTCTGCTCTGTCCCTTGGTGTCTGTTTTGGGCCACGGTCCTGCTGCTGATCATCTACCTGCAGTTCTCCTTCCGCAGCTCTGTCTAAGGTTCCCTTGGTGGGCCCGAGGACCGTGGGTGGTGCCAGTCAGTTGGTGGGAGGGGTGGAGAACTGGGTTGGGAGTGAGCTCAAGTTCCACTGATTCAGTGACGACCCTGGACAGATTTACCAGTTTTTCCATCTGTAAAAAGTTTAGCCGGGCGCAGTGGCTCACGCCTGTAATCCCAGCACTTTAGGAGACGGAAGCGAGAGGATTGCCTGAGCCCACAGGTTCGAGACCAGCCCGGGCAACTTGCGAGACCTCTTCTCTACAACAAATAAAACAAAATTAGCCGGGTATGGTGGCACACACTCGTAGTTCCAGCTACTTGAAAGACTGAGGTGGAAGGATCACCTGAGCCCAGCAGGTCGAGGCTGTGGCGACTGTGAGTGTGCCACTACACTCCAGCCTGGGCAACAGAGTGAGACTCCTATTCCAAGAAAAAAAGAAAAGAAAATTTGGGCTAGGTCACTGGTTTTTCAAATGAAAGCCTGAATCTCAAAGTTATACGTAGGTGCCTTGAGGGTTTTTGGAATTGGAAGGTAGACTAAGTGAGTGAGTGTCCAGCTCATGGTCCAACTCCCACCCCAAATCCTGCTTCCTCCTCTTGCTTCAATCAGAACAGTTCTACCTTAGATGAAGTTCCATTTAAGGTTTTTATATAAAAAAAAGTTTAACTGCTTTAAAAAAAAAGTTTGAAATATAGAGGATTAGGTGATCTCAGAAAGCCTTTCCACAGCAGTGAGCTTGACCTTGCTCTCTTATTAATTTCTCTCCTCTACCCTTCATTATCTCCCACATCCTGTAGCTGTAGCCTTAAATTAACCTCTTTGCCTACTGTGTGAGCCTCATCCACAGCTCTGCCTTCACACACACAGCAGAGGTTTCATGTGAAGGGAGAGAGGTGAGGGCACCAGGCTTTTCCTTTGTCACTGGGTGCACAAGGTCCCTTGCTTGTTTCCCAGCTTGCGGCTTGTCTCAAGGTGGATTCTGGGGTCTGACTGGCTGAAAGATGATGGTTGGGATGGGGCCCCGTAGTGCTGGGCTTCCCATCCACTGAATATGAACTGGCAGAGAATTTAGGTGAGGTTTAGAAGACAGAGTTTTAGAAGCAAAGCACAAAATACCTGGGAAACAAATATAACGCAGCCATACAAAAGAATGAAATTGTGTCCTTTGCAGTAACATGGATGGAGCTGGAGATCATCATCCTAAGTAAACTGACTCAGAAACAGAAAATCAAACACCTCATGCTCTTACTCATATGTGGGAGCTAAACCGTCTCAAAGATGGAAATAATAGATACTGGGGGCACCAGTAAGGGGAGAAGGGGAAGGAAGTTAGGGCTCAGAAACTACCTATGGACACAGCGTTCACTATCTAGGGAATGGGTGGCCTGAGACCCAATCGTCAACACTACACAATATGTCCATGTAGCAAACATGCTTGTGTACCCTCTGAATCTAAAACAAAAACAAAAAACAAATATAATGATTCTCCATTAAAATGGAAGGCCTTCAGAGTTCTGGGACCAGAGTGTAAGAACCAAGTCCAACAGATTCTCAGGAGTACTCATGGCCAGAACACAAGAGCAGGGGCCTGACCTCCTGGGTTCTTCGCTGAAGTTGTAGTTGAGTGTCTTTCCCTCACTGGCCAAGCGTGAACCCTCTTGACAGAGATCAGTTGCCCATCTGCAACCAAAGGGATGGGGTGTTCAGAAAAAGAGGGGGGCATTAAAGATGTGAAGTTCAGGGTTGCATGGAAGGTTGAGTTGCAGATTGTTTAGGAATCACCACACTGTTCTCCATGAAGCCATAAAGAAAAAGTTATAGACTTCACAGCAACTTGGACGGATTTAAAGTCTATAACACTCAGTTACCCATTACAGATACAAAGGTCTAAGTACCATATGTACTCACTTATAAGAGGACCCCAAATATTTATTATAATACTATAAGAAAGGGATTGGCAGTAGTGGGAAATTGCCAGTGGGGGGAAGCACACAGCATCAATAAGGGTACCCGATCTCAAACCAGGCGAAGTGGGGAAAGGGAGGCCCAACTTTACCTGTACAATGACCACATGTGTATCTAACCCTGAACTGTACCCCACATCTTTAAAATATATATTTATGTATACACACACACACACACACACACACACACACACACACACACAAAGTGCTTTGCTCATGAGAAGTGCATAGATACGTGGAAGAATCTTACATCACTTAAAATGGGTGTAATATATGGTGAGGAGAGAAGTCTTTCTGATAGTAGGGCTATGGAATGGGGGTGGTGGGGAGAGGCAGCTTCTCTCAGTAAATTCTGGGGTCTGCCTGGCCGAAAGATGGTGGTTGGGTTTTAGTTCTCACTTTTGTGTTCCCTAATTTACTCCATCTTGTTTAATAACTTGATTCCCTCTCCTCCTTCTCCCACTACTCTACTCTTTAATAGAAAGTCACTAGGGTCTGTAGTGGTGGAGGGAGGAGGGCCATTAACATAAAGATGAGACACTTTAATAAAGACGGGATATCTCCAATCAAGCTTAGTAGTCATTAATGTGTGTTTGAAATTCTGCGCACAGTCCCTGATCTGTAATGGACTGTTGATCCCCTCCATCCCACCACCCTGTCTTCCCTCTCTTCTTCACGGGGTCCTCAATGAGGCTGTATTTCGCTCCAGCTCTGGGCCAATCCTGTCCATAGTCAGGAGGGATGGAGGTCAGGAGATCAGCATCAGGTCAGTCTCACTCCTACCCTGGCTAGAATTCTAGTAACCAGCTGTGACTTCCTTTAGTTCACTTACACATTATTCATTTCTTCATCCAGACCACGTATCCTGAGCACCTTCTCCCTAGCCAGTTCTGATGGGATGGTGCTGGGATGCCATGGGTGTTCAGGTATAGGTCTCTCAGAGGTCTCTGCTTACTACAGGGTTTCTCCACCCTGGCTGTACTTGATACATCCTGGGGAACTTTTAAAGAAATATCAGTGCTCAGCCTCTACCCCAGACCAATGGGATTGGAATTGGGATCGGGGATTGGCGGGGTGGGGAGATGAGGCCTAATCATCTGAGTTAGAATTAAGCACCCAGGTGATCCACCTGTGCTGCTTGGTATCATATCTTCTGACTGATAAATTGACTTTCTTTTGCATCTAATTTGATAGCACCAAGCCCTAAGATTCTCCTTGATGATCTGCCCTGGTTTCTGTAGAAGTAGGGTTTAGTATCCCTCCTTCCAGCTGCCCTACTCAACCTCTCACCCTGTGCCCTAGAGACCCTACCTTCTTCACAATCCCCCTGCTCCTGCAGGTCTGCTACTACAATGACTTTATTCTGCTCTGGGGGTCTCTGCTACTGAGCTCTGGGACACACAGGAAACTGTTACAATTACTCATCTATGGCTAGACTCCCTGCTAGAATGTAAGAGCACAGACTCCACAAATTTCACTCATATCTGCTGAGCGTATAACAAATGCTCAATAAAAATTTGTTAAATGAATAAATGAGCCAATGAACTAAGCCATCTCCAGCCAGATCCTCGTTTCTCTAGCATCCTATATTTTTGACAATATTTGGAGTTTACCTCTTATTCCAACACTCATTCTTCTTAGACCCATCCCAGCACCTGAATCAGGACTGGCTAGGGAGAAGGTGCTCAGGATACGTGGACTGGATGACAAAATGAATACTGTGTAGATGAAGTAAAGGAAGGCACAGCTGGTTACTAGCATTCTAGCCAGGGAAGAAGTGAGACATATATTCCATATCAAATCAGTTTACATTAAAGTAATTATAGTAAGAGTTAATTTTTTTTAAAGATGGTAGCATAGGGTCATATAAAGGGTTCTGAATCTTACATTGGGGAGCTGTGGGCCTTCGTTAATTTTGGACTGATTCCCCTGGGATTTCAGCTGGTCATTATCTTTCCTTTTTAGCCTTCCTCAAAAGGGTTTGCACTTTTTATTTACTAGTTCTAGTTCTCACAGGGGGATCCCACAGGGAGGCTGTTCCCTTTTCCTTAGTAAGCCTTTTCTCAACACCACAGCCAGGGCAGTTCTTTTAACCTAAGTCAAATTCCACCATTCTTTTGCTCCCTTTTTTCATTCTGCAAAAGTCAAGTCCTACTTGATGTGGCTCTAGCTGTCTTACTAACACCTTTTTTTGTAATTATAATTTTTTGTGATTATAATCTCCCTGCGTGGCCAGGTGCAGTGGCTCAAGTCTATAATCGCAGCACTTTGGGAGGCTGAGGCAAGAGGATTGCCTAAGTCCACAGGTTCGAGACTAGCCTGAGCAACATGGTGAGACCTCGTCGCTACAATAAATCAAAAAATTAGCTGGGCGTGGTAGCACGTGCCTGTAGTTCCAGTTACTTGGAAGGCTGAGGTGGAAGGATCCCCTGAGCCCAGCAGGTCGAGGCTTCAGTGGCTGTGAACGTGCCACTGCACTCCAGCCTCGATGACAGAGTGAGACTCCAACTCAAAAAAAAAATCTTCCTGTGTTTTATTAATTTTAATTTTAGACTTATGGGGTTCATGTGTGAATTTGTTAAAGTATATTGCATGAAAACAAGGTTTGGGCTTCTGACCAGCCCTCCCTGCACTCGCCCCCAGGAGTGGGCATGCTATCCAGTGGGTGGTTATGTATCCCTTATCCCACCCCCGCCTCCTTCCTTTAACAGTATCCAGTGTCTGTCGTTCCTGCCTTTGTGCCCATGTGCCCAGTGTTTAGAGCCCACTTATGAGTGAGAACATGTGGCATTCTGTTTTTTGTTTTTGTGATAATTCACTTAAAATAATGGTCTCCAGCTGCATCCATGTTGCTACAAAGGACATAGTTTTGATTTGTTCATCTTTATGGCTGAGTAGTATTCCTTAGTGTATATGTAACACATTTTCTTTATCCAGTGCATTTTCAACAGGCATCTGGGTTGGTTCCATGTTTTTGCTATTGTGAATAGCACTACAATAAACATGCAAGTGCAGACGTCTTTTTGTGAACCATCAAACCAGAGCAATTTGTGTTCCTAAGAGTATATCCCAAGAAGTAGGATTGCT